ATTGGTGCAATAAATAAGATTTAACACATACAATATTCTGTGTTTGTAAAATGCTATAAAATCTATAGTATTATAAGTTACTGTCTCTGTGGTAAGGTCTATGAAGTCATTTTCTCACATTAATTTTTTTCTCCCCAAGAGGATGAAAAACAATTAATCTAGCAGAGATGAACAATAGAATACTGCTGATATTTTTGAATGCTGTTTAATCGATGATACAATACCACTGAAAACAAAATTCCTGGGAATTTATTTCATGTTTTATGTATTCTAGGTATGCACAGAAGGACGTCTTATCTTGGAGTTTACTTTTGATGATCTTATGAGAATAAAAACATGGCACTTTACTATTAGACAGTACAGAGAATTAGTCCCACGCAGCATTCTAGCCATGCATGTAAGTAATCCTTTTTCACTTGACCTAATGCAAAGAGATGAGATTAGGTTTATGAAGAAATCCAGCAAATTTCACACCCAAAGCAATTAACTACAAATATTTTGTTTTGCCTGCAACTACATCCATTTACAAGTGCTTTCATCACTCCCTTGTTTCTCAATGTTCTATTGTTGCCACTGTTGCTATGTTTTCATTTTGGTTTAGCACGTAGTTTTCCTTTTAGTCCCATTTGGTGATTGGTATGATTTGGGCCCAAAATCTGTTCTTATTGGTATGAACTACGCTGAAGTCAGTCAATTTTCATCATTGTAGGTACAAACTGTATTTAGTCTTTAAACAAAGCAAACTAACGACACTCTTGCATGAGACAGAAAACAATTACCATTTATTCACTTGGAAACTCTTAGAATTTTAATCTAGATTTTTTTTTTCGCATTTCAAGATCTTTCTTATGTAATTGAATAAAAACACACACAATAGAACATTAAAGTATTAAATACTTGAAGTAAAAATATTATGAGGTAAATCATTGCAGAAAAACAAAAGAGAATCACTGCCACTTTCAGTTCCACATTGTAGAAACATCCCAACTGGTGGTGCTCCATATACAAATTTAACTGCAGGACTGAGGTTTTATAGAGAGTAAGAACACAGACCCAAATATGTGCCTGTATTTTGACATCAAGTTACTTAGATATCCATAGACAAAGCTATATTTGTAGTGAGAAATTTTAAATTACTTTTAAAAGCCTGGACCTTTTTGAAAATGCAATTGCAGGCCCAAAGAAAACACCTTTAAAAACCAGCCCCACCTTTTCTTTCCCAGGGTTATCCTTTATTTTATGGGGCTGATCTTCTGAACCCTTCAACAGTATCCCATTAAGGGACAATGAGGATGCCCATGAGCGATATTATGTATTTAGGGGGGCTGCTGCAAATCAAAGAGAGCGGAAGCAGGTTAGCCAGCAACCAGCAGGTATTAACTTTAGTAATGAGATTGATCTCATTTTAAAGAGGAGGCTGGTCTCACAGGTAAAGCTCCTGTCTAGGGTTAGAGAAGGATAGTACTGGTATTTTTCCTGTTTAATTCTGGGAAAATAACTTAGACCAGGAGGATCTTAACATACCGCTTAACATGATCAGCTCTGCTGAAGGTGCCTTGATGAGTTCTCTCTGCTTCGGTTTCTTAGCCACAGAAAGAAAGCACATACCTTCTTTGTTCCTGTCTTTATCTTCTTAGTCTCCTGGGACTCCCAGCCAACAAATGGAAGGTTCAAAGCGTACTGTGATCCCTCGGGAAGCTCTTTGGTTGGGCTCTGCTCGCTTGCACCTCTGTGCATGACCAGACCCCATAAGTCTATCTTTTTGAATGGGTGGAGACAGATGGAATGTATTGGAAAAAATCTTTATTCTGCTCTAATTTAATAATGCTTTACATTTTCCTATGCAAACAGAACTCTATACCTTATTGCATAGATTTAGCATCAACGTGTAATTTTTCCGTAGGAGTGGCACCTCTTTTCAGAGAACCCTCCCTGCATTCCACCAACCACATAGAGAAAAACAAATAGACAAAAAGCCAAGTGAAAATTCTTTTTTCCTCTGTTGTTTAGGCACAAGACCCTCAGGTGCTGGAGCAGCTGTCCAAAAACATCACTCGAATGGGTCTGACAAACTTCACCCTCAACTACCTCAGGGTAAGCATACCATAGCTGATGATTATTACAAGCATTTTTTAAAAGCTGCTGCTAGCTTTGAGTCAAGGTAATGAGAGCAGAGCCTGTGTCGGTCAGGTAAGAAATGGACCTAACCCTTAGCGAGGGTGAAGGAGAAACACTGGAGCTGTAGTAAAGATGTAGCTGCTGAAAATGTGCCATTGAAAAGGGTAAGAATTTTTTCATGGAGTCAAAGCAGGATGTGAGTAGCCCCTGTTTTGAACAGTCTTTCTTCTCTGTTTTGAATTAATGGCTTAATTTATTAGTTAATTTTTTGTAAGCAAGAGGGTCCCCACCATTTTTCCTCCGTGCTTGTCTGTTCCTGAGAAAATGGCAGCTCGTTCTTATTAAGAGCTGCCTGTCTTCTCCAGCTCTTCGACCTCCCCACCTCTCCCAGGCAGAGGCAGGGCTGAGGGAAAGCTCAGCTCCAGCCCTTTCTGCAGCAGTCCCTCAAAGTAGTCCTCACTTCACTTGCCTCTGGGAGCCTGAGCTCCCTCCTCAGCCTTGCACTGAATTGTGTGTGTTTTTTATGATTAAATAATGCATTTGTTCCCATTGCTTTTTGACCCTTAAAGTGCATTCGAAGTTTGGAAGCTTATTTTTATTTTTGAAAGTATTCCCTGGTGTGGGCTTACAATGCATACACTGAAATACGGGTTTGTAGAGTTCATATTTCAAGGTTAAAATTCAGATTTTTCTTATTTCTAGACATGCCATTAGTAGATAAAATGAGGCAAATTGCTCAATGATACACCAAGCTAACTTGGCCAAGAATATCTGATTTTATTCCTTTTAATTGTAGCTATTGAGGTAATTATTCAAGATGATCTTTTAAGATAATAAAAGATCACTAGAAAATGCAGTTATTTGCAGCCTGACGTAGAGCTGTACCTGACGGTCTATATTTTAGATGCACTTCATTCAGGTTGATGAACCTCGTGGTACCTTCCCTATGGATGGAGTCCTTACCCCCAGAGTGTTCTGAACCCCGGGGGGGACAGTGTGCATGACTGAGATGTGTGGTTGGATCTCTCTCGCTGTATCCCTACAGCTGATAGACAGGCTGTAGTTGTACTTACTCTCCCAATATGATAAGCTATTGCTGATTGTTGCTGATGTGGTGTTAGCATGAAAATTACTGTTCAGATTGTAGTCTGAGTTATGCAGGGCAGATCTGCTGTAGTATAACTGAAAGAAAAATGTGGCATAAAACCTCGGAGGGATAATACATGGCATTAGAATTTTTCCATGTATAAATTCAAGAATAATGTGTCTCTGGTGTGCTTACCGTCTTCTCATGGTTAGTTAAGTCTGTGGTTTGGTACAGCCAGCCACCCTTTGACAACATCACTGTAGCCACAGCGTCTTGTGGCGAGGCATCCTAGAGCACATTCTCCAGAAATTCCCACTGGGGATTCCTCCTCAGCCATGCCAAATTTTGCATTACACTCCTGTGGCAAACTGGGCAGCAAGCAGCTGGCTTAGGTAGGCCATTTCCGTGTTGTCTTTCCAAATTGGCCCGTGGCACAAGGCATTACCCTGCTCTTGAGGTCTTTGACCCCCTTGGCACGACCGGATGCACCGGCATGCCCTTGGGGCTGGCCTACACCAGCCACAGTACTCCGTACCCATCCTCTGCACGGCTCGGAGGGCCGTGCTGAATTAGCAGCACCACCTCTACGGCCGACCCTTCTGCGTCCTTTGTGGCATGTGCTGTGACTGCTGAATGTGACAATGCAAATGAGAAAGGCAGGGTCCCTGTTAGGACGCAGCTGGCATCAGGCACCCATGCTGCTCCCCCCGTCAGCATCAAAAAAAAAAAAGAAAGGAAGGAAGGGGAGGGGGAGGGAGGAGAAAAAAAATCCTCAGAAAAAGAAAACTGGGATCAAGATAAGCACTAGGGAGATGAGCAGTGAAGTGGAAGGGGATGAAAAGATGAAGTCTTAGGTTTTTTTCTTCTTCCAGACTAGGTTTGTTAGCTTAACAGACAACATTAGGTCTCTGGGTGCAAAGCTTCCTCTGGCTCCTGCTGTGGTGATTCCAAAGGGAAATCTTTCTTTTTCCCAAGCCAATCTTTGCGTCTCTCTTTCTTGCGGTGTGGAATTGATCATTCTGCTCTTTTTTTTAGATGTTCGGCTCATCATGGGAGCTCGTATTAGATGATATATTTGCATTTTGATTTACTTCTTTCCCAATTACTTTCTTTTATTAATCTTAACATGAAAATCTCTTCTGAACTCAGGATTGTAAAATCATGCACTAAAAAAATGTGGTAAATGCACGTAGGTTTAAGGTGGTTTGTATTGTGGTTGCATTTTTTAAGTCAGCATTTTATGATATTTTATTCACTCTTCCCAGTGTTTAGTAATTAGCACTGTTACATGGTTTTGAATAAGGATTTGAAACTAAGCATGAAAATTATTTTCTTTTTTTTTTTCTGCTGCACACAGCAAAGGCTTGTGATACTCATAAGCGAAAACTTCACTGATGGGCAGAATTAATCATTTTTATTCTCTACTGTGCACACAGCAGCAAGCTGTGCTGCAGTCTTTTTAAAGGCAGAATTTAACCCTGGTTTTCAGATGGTTGTGATATAAAGGTATAGCCTGGATTTTTTACACTCTAGACATCACAAAATGCTAAATCATTGTTAGTTGGGATAATTGCAGTTGCTGGCACGTAAGCCTCCGTTCCAGAGTGCCACATGCCTGTATAGCCACAGCTTTGGATGCGTGCCCTGGTTCGCCTTCATTCATTCCAAGTAAAGCTGTCCAGCATAGAAGAACATGGATTTTGTTTTAATACCAATTTAAAATATATCTTCTTGGAACCTGGAAATGAAATGTTTTGTCCTGTGACATTTGCCAAATGCTCTTTCTCCCTGTTTCCTCTGGCTCTGTATAAAACCATAGGCTTCCTTTCTTTCTAGTTACTAGTTTGTTTTCTTCCAGCATAATTGATTACCTCATCAATGGGGTCAGCATACTTTGCTGTAGCTGCTGACTAGGAGTTGAATAGCTGTCTCAGAAATAATGAGCAAAACCTTGTAGGTTTTAAATTAATATAAAGCTTTTTAAAATGTAATTTCTCATCAAGTCATCAAGTAGTAGATATTACGAACTATCAGATAATAAGGCCGAGACCTATATCCTCATCTCAGTCAGTATGAATCCAAGAGCAAACAGGAATCCTGTACAGAGTTTGAAGATGGAGATAACGCTCAAAAGAACAGTTTCCACCAAGCTACAATAATTTAGTCCCAACACGTTTCTTTATTTTTTTCCTAAGTAATTTTCTAGTTGTTCAGCTATTTTATTTAGATCTTCAATGCATAATGGATTTAAGTGCTCTCCAAAACCAGTAGCTTTACACCAGCAGCACTATTCACAGTTTGGAGATCAAATGGTTCTTGCTGCCTTTTATAAAATGATTTATTCTCTCAAAATTTCTGACATTATAAAAAAGCCAGCCCCTGCTATCAGTTAGGCAGGACTACCTGACCTGAGCCTTGAAATACAGCTGATTTTTGAAATTCCTCTCTGCTTTCTTGGGCTGGATGAGAGTGATTTCTTAGAGCTCTACCCCAGGTGCAGCTATTGCATCCTCCCCACACTGGTCTGCACTGGTAGCCAGTTAATGGAGCTGAATCTGCATCTGCCTTTTGCAAAGTGAGATTTAGCATGGCAGAGCCCCCCGCTCTGTGTCAGGAAAGGTATCTAGGCAGGGGAATGCACACTCCCATTCCCCCTTACATCCTGTATGGCTACATTAACCAAGACTTGTCTGAGCTACAAATTATCCAATTTGGGTTTTTTTCTGTATAAACCAATAATGAAGTGTTACCATTGCAACACAGAGGACAATATTTTCTGAATCCCCACTTTTACTAATTTAGTTCCTCACTAGACACTTTTGGATTTCTTCTGCTATGATTATAACATGAATTATTTAATGGGACACAATTTTCTAAAGGTGATACTTACATTGCAATCAAAAGCCATTTGTATGTGTGCACATTATGTATGCAAAATTTTCTTTTGCACATGCAAAACAGACATGGATGCAACAGCTTCTTTTAATGTCCAGGGAAATTTGCTTTTCTAAATATGGTTTCCTGCATGGAAAGGATATGAACTCTAATCATTTGGGAGCTAGTTTACTCCTCATATGTAACTGTTTGTGGCAGCTAGCTGGTCAGCAGTTTACAGCTGTTTGTGTATCTCGATGAAGAAGGAAAAAGATTACGTGCAAGTGTGATTTGGATGTTAAATCAGGTTCTCGGGGAAAAGATACGCTATATTTATAGTTAGCCATGCAACATGAATTCCTTTACCTTTGTGAGTTACATGTGAGTTCAGCCTGGAGAAGAGGAGGCTCCGAGGAGACCTCATTGCAGCTTTCCAGTATCTGAAGGGGGCCTACGAGGGTACTGGGAGAGGACTTTTTACAAGAGCCTGTAGTGATAGGACAAGGGGCAATGGGTATAAATTGAAAACAGGGAGGTTTAGATTAGATGTCAGGAAGAAATTCTTCACAGAGAGGGTGGTGAGGCACTGGAACAGGTTGCCCAGAGATGTTGTGGATGCCCCATCCCTGGCTGGCTTCAAGGCCAGGCTGGATGAGGCTTTGAGCAACCTGGTCTAGTGGAAGGTGTCCCTGCCCATGGCAGGGGGGTTGGAACTAGATGATCTTTAAGGTCCCTTCCAACCCAAACCATTCTATGATTCTATGATTCTATGATTCTACATTACGTCATCATCTTCTAACGACATCATCATACAGTGTGTTGCCCACAGTATCTGACACAGGCAATGCATGGGATGACTAACCCTCACTCAGTAGCCAGCGCCCCGGTGCTGCTCATTTCCTCGTGGGCTTTTCTGCAGCATAGCTCTACTATCTCAAATGCAAACAGTGGTAGTTGCTCAGCACCGTCCAGCTGAAGGGGCATCATCGTTCCCAGGGCGCACATGCAGCATTGA